CGTGCTAGTCATTCATTTCCACCTTCTCTTTCCTATATTTTTCAACTTTTCTTGAGAGCTCATTTGGAGGTTCTAGCAGGGGAGTGCGCCACTGATATACACTTCGCCGACGCCTGGTCCTCTCCTTTAGTTGGGAAGGTCGTCCTCTTTGGCCAAGGGTGCAGCTTCCGGAGGGATGACCATGGATCAGTGAGGGAAGAAGAGGACACCCGCCTCGCCAGCCAGATCAGTGGAATCGACACTGGTGGTCCATGGGGTGACAGATGTCACAGCCAGATCGCCCTCACACCCTGTGTCCACCCTTTCCTGCATCTGATCTGTGTTGTCTCGCCCCTCTTCTCCCACTGCACATTCAATCACTGGGTCATGGTCCCCCGGCCTGTCCCTGCTGTGGCCTGTGGCCAGCACAACACCCCCACACCCATCTGCTCCAGACATTTCTCAAGACAGGATTTGGCTCATGTTTTAATTTTATGAACAGCTTAGGCTGAGGGGTTAACAATGAGTAAAGCACAAACGCCACTGTCCAGAGCTGAGCATCGCATCGGAGACTCTACATGTGTGTGTCACTGATGCAAGGCCAACTCTGGGATGGTCATTCACGTAAGGGACATGGGTCTGGAGGAGAGCACATTCATTTCAACTCTTGGATCTCCAATGATTTCCTAAAGACATTGGGGCTTGAGGGGAGAGGTATTTCAGGCAGAACAAACAGTATAATATGAAGGACAACCACTTATTAAATAACTGCCATGGGCCAGGTTGCATGTCATTGCTAATTCTCCCACCAGCTATGCACAGGAGGTGTTATCCTCACTGCTTTACAGCTGGAGAAAGGCTTAGTGAGGTTAAACAACCAGTGCCAGGCTGCTTTGGTTTTGTCAGAATGAGGATTTGAACCCTGCTCTGTTAATGTTTGCTTTGTGTAAAAGCAAAGTTGTGGGGTAGAGTGTGCAGAAGATGGGATTACTGAGGGCTAGAGGCTGGGGAAGGGTGGCTGGTGCACAGGGCTGAACTTCAAAGAGCTGCGAATGAGCTGGCCAGCGCCTGCAGTCCCCACTGTCCTGCAGCCTAATTCAGGCCTCACCTCCTCCAGGAAAGCTTTCCTGACGTCCTCAGTTTACCTAGATGTCCACCCTCACTCCCCCACTTGTAGGTGTGACCCTGTGCCTTCCTTTCCCATGAACTTAATTACTGTATACGAATGTCTACTCATGGGTTTCTGTTCGACAGTAAGCTCCCTGAGGGTGGGGTCATGTCTGAGTGCCTTTGCATTCCCAGTTTGTGAGGCAGAGAAGGAAAGAGTCGGTGGAGCACTGGGTGTGGAGAAGAGAAAATGAGTAGATTTGAGGCAGCCAAGCAGCATTTGTCAACAGGCGATGTGCTGAGGGCAGGCGAGGAAGAAAGCTCTGAGGATTTAGCCTGACTGCAAAGAGGGAAGACCTGTCCCCCAGCAAAGGGGTGTGGGAGAAGCAGTTGGCTGGGTGATCTCGCCCCTCCCACAGGGTGAGAGTCAGGGAAGGGGGAGAAGAGGCGGCTCTATAAGGCCATGAGTCTAATGCTGGCAGGACCCATCATAAAAGTAACATGGACCGAAGGGAAACGACCTTGGCTCTGGGCTGAGACTGTCTGGGTCCAAATTCCAACTTTGCCACCTAACCCCCTGGGGCCTGGGGCCATCCACAGAACTGTCTCTGTCTCAGTTTTCCTCCCTGAGATTACACCAAGCTCAAATTTTGAATGAATTATTCCATTGCGATATAGACCACGTTTTTAAGAATCCATTTATTGTTGGGTATTTGGGCTGTTCCCACATTTTGGCTATCACGGATAGAACATTTGAATACAACTATCTGTCTGAGTCCCTGTTTTCAGTTCCCTGAGGTATATATCCAGGAGTGGAATTGATGGGTCACAGGATAGATAACTCCATATGTCGCTTTTTGAGTGACTGCTAGACTTTTTGCACTGTGGCTGCATCATTTCCCATTGCTACCAGCATCATATGAGGGTTCCAACTTCTCCACATCCTCACCAACACTTCATTTCTGCCTTTTTGGTGATAACTATCCTGCTGGGTGTGTGAAGTGGTTTCTACTTGAGGTTTTTATTTGCATTTCCCTAGTGACTAATGACACTGAGCATCTTTGCACTCACTGTGTGTTGTTGAACCAGAGGCGGGACCCGGTGTGACTGCCTTGTCTGAGGTTGTACTTCACAGGAAAAGGCACCTGGACAATGTGATTCCTACCCTTGGTTTCCCCAGGTTGTGGGGTTGGTTTTTAGCACCCTGTTTAATTTCCATACGTGGCAGGGGCATGGGAGCTCACCTTCCTCTGTTAAAGAGGTGCTTTAGTCCCTGACGCAGAGTGAAGATAAGTGAGAAAGGGAAGAAACTAAGAGTGTAGACTCTGAAGCCAGATTATGGGGGTTCCAGGCCTTGGGCTGAATGAGTCAGTGCCTCTGTGCCTCTGTTTCTCGTCTGTAACTGAGTTCAATAATAGGAATGGCCTCAACAGGTTGTTGTGAAGATGAGATGAGTTAATATTTGAAAGCCAGTACTCAGTGAGGGTCTGCTGCTATTATCCCGGCATTCTGTGTTTCAGCTTCAGCTGGACACAGGCCACTGAGCTCGTGTTTGTTCTGCTCGTTTCACCAGCCTCCTCAGGGGTCTTTATGGACCACCTTCCATTTGAACTACATAAGCACTCTCTCATCTGGTGTTTGTCTGCATCAGTCTTTAAAGCAAAAGGAGTGTGGGCTCCGTTAATGGCTCCTCTTGTATCTAAGCACGACTTTGTTGAAACTCTTTATGGACTGTGCATCTCTGATCATCACACATGGGGCCAGGATCACAGAATGGGAGAAGTAGAGCTTGAAAGGCCAGTTTTGCCCCACAGACCACGACTGCCTGGTCACTGAAGACAAAAAGAAAAACCTGCTTCTCGCTCTGGCTGGTGTAGCTCAGTGGATTGAGCGCAGGTCTGCGAACCAGAGGATCTTGGTTCAATTCCCAGTCAGGGCACATGCCTGGGTTGCAGGCCAGTTCCCAGCAGGGGACGTACTAGAGGCAACCATACATTGATGTTTCTCTCCCTTTCTCCTTCCCCTCTAAAGATAAATAAATATAAAAAAAACAAACCCTGCTTCTCTTTCAACTTGGGCCTTGTCCCATGGCCACTGAATCCTGCCCCGACCCACACCACAGTGATTTTCAGTCCCTTTGGCATGAGCTCGGCCACCCTAACCCCAACACTTCTGGAAATCCTCCTAGGGAAGGTCATCTCACACCTTTCCTAAGAATGGCTTCTTCTGCCACATTCGTGGTTCCTTATGCTCCCTTGATTCTCTTACCTTAAGAAAAGTATTCAAAGATTTTTTTTGTGCTTGTTTTGGCAGCAGATATACTAAAATTGGAAGGATACAGAGAGAATTAGCAAGGCTCCTGAGCAAGAACGACACCCACATTTATGAAGTGTTCCATAAAAAAATCCTTTTTCTCTCCCCATGATACTTGCGCACACAGGTCAGGTGAGCACACGGTAAGACAGCAGCCACCCACTAGCCAAGAGAATGGTCCTCAGGATGAGCTCTGCCTTGCCTGCAGTTTGCCTTGGTCTTCCTAGCCTCCAGAACTTTCTGTGCTGAATGAAGTGGAGAACAGACTAAAGTTGGGCAAAGTAGGAGCAGGAGACAAGTCAGAGGCTTATATATAATAGCTAAGGAAGCAGGAAGGGTTCCCTTCTCCTGAGTGATTGAGTTGAACACCTGTGAGTTGGGACTCCTTATTGTGAAAAAGAGGAGCAGTTACCTCCAGATGAAGCCTGGAAAGGAGAGTGGAATCAGAAAAGAAAAGGAAGTGTTTCCACAGCCTCTGGTCCCACTCACAACACTGGTCGTTTTGGTTAAGTGTATCAATTTTTAGTCAGTTTTGGTTACAACATTTAAAGTTAAATAAAGCATCACAATATCCCAACAAGAAAAATCTTACGCAGTAAAGTTCTTACTTTGGGGATGAGAAAAAGTCAGTTTGAGTGTCTCCTTTATCCATTTTCTAGCCTTTTTCTAGCTCAATGAGCACAAACTGTTTTAGATGGCGGGAAGCATTCTAGCCTGGGAGAGAAAGCCAGGTGCTGAACAGCATGTAAGGCAGGGGGAGAGCAGTATTGCTGGCTGGGTTTGAGGGTGCATCTGGGACCACTGGAAGGAGCCGGTCATGCTCATGGCAGGAGCGGTTAACCACTTTGGGGTGTGGACAAGAAAAGGGGTCTCAGGGAAAGCAACCTCACAGAGTGATCTGATCATAAATTCCTAACTGGACAGCCATGCCCCAGGCCTAGAACTTTATAGCAAATGTTTATCTTTGCTTTTCCTCTTTAATCTCAGATGCATAAAAGAAAGTGCAAAACTTATTCTCTAGAGCATTTGAGATCTTGCTTCCCCATAATTGTCATCAGTTTTGACTCAAACTCTTATAAGAATTCTCTACAGGTTTGGGTGTTCCTTACATCAACAAGGATAACCTAACCCTTTCCTCCAGCTGCAAACGCTCTGGTCCAAAGCCTGGCTCCATACCTGCAGCTATGTCCTGTCTGCACAGTGGGGTTAAGTGAAGACGTTCTGTGGTTAACGCGGTGCCACACAGGCTTTGATTGGCTTCAGGAGAATGTTAAGCAGACTCTTCCCGTGATTGACCCAAGAGAGTCCAGACTGTGCTCTGAATTCAATGGATATGAAAATGTTTTTGAGACGTGGAAAATCCTGCCTGAAGAATGAGATCAGAAAGAAGACTCTGGGGCATTTCAAGATAGGCCCAGGACACACCCGGGGCTCCCAGCTCTGGAGCCCAGAGCTTCTTCCTGGGCCTGTCAACCAGTCTCCAGTTTGGTGAATCAGGGGTGGGGGTCGTAGGTTTCCAGCCCATAGCTTCCCATTCAAACTCGTCTACCAGGCCTCACCTCTAACTACTTACTGGTTTAGAGGAGTGACTTGTTCATATGTTAGTCGTGCCTATCCGCATGCTGTATGTCAAGAATGACCAATAAAGAAGCATTGGAGACGTTGCTCCCTGACTCAAATACAAGTTGAGGAGGCTTGTGTGGATCATGAGTGTTCCTTTCTCTAAATGAACACCATTCTGAGTCTCTAACCTTCCCTCCCATTGGCTGGCACAATGCCACTGAATCACCTGCACAAAGAACCGCCGTCTGAGCGTGGCTGAAGGCCGTGGCACTCTGGTAACAGCCTGGACATTTTACATCCGTAAAATGAGGATTTGGACTTTGAAGTAGCTGCTTACTTCTGTGTTTTTTCTTTTCCTCTCTCAAGGATGGATGTACTAAATCTCTAGCCAAAGGCATACGGATCCTTTCTCAAGGCCAGCCCGTCAAGATCTCTGAGGTGATCAGCACACGATCAGGTGTATGGCATCAGCTTGGAGTTAGTTTTTAAAAATTGTACTCCCTTTAAGTAATATGTTGTAAAACCCCCAAATTCTGCTTATGCTTTTAAGTCCAGCTGACAACAACTCCCATTATTCTATTTATAATGCTAGTTAATTTTAACAGTATCTTTTAAAAGGACTTTTTCAGTTTTGTTAATTAAATATCCTCTATATTTTAAACAGATTTATACATTTAATATATTTGGTTTTATTTATAAGCACTGCAAATACCTAACAATTAGAACATTCCCAAACACAAACAATTCTAATAAGTATAATAAAGGAAACAAAAATATAGTGCATCTCAACTTCTCATAAACATTCCAGTATTATTTACAAACCTAGTAAAATCTTGAATCCAAACAATTACTCAATTACTCACTTTAAATTGGAATCAAGAGACTGATATATTAGATTCTTTAATGCTAACTCCTCTTATTGCAAACACACAGGATGCCCAGTATACACAAATTGTTGCAAAACCTAATTGAGATGTATTAATAATACTTTATTTGAACCCTTTTCGAGGTCAAAAGACATGTACTCATGGAGGAAACAGCCAAGTCGAATCAGCAGGTTGTCGTTCTGTCCTCAGTGGGCTGAGATGACTGCGCACAGGTTTTCCTGTGGGCATGGGGTCCTCGGGTGCATTCAGTCCTCTGACCAGAGCTCCAAGTCTGCAGGGGGTTGGAATCTCGGGGGTCAAGGTGTCCGCTCCCCCAAGTCTCTCACCTGCCCCGAGTCTGTAACTCCTTACTCCTAGGTTGTGTCACCTGTTTATTGTCTGATGATGTCCGGATTTCCCCACCCCCACGCAGTCTCCTGGTCTGTTAGGGCCACGGCTCAGATAGCTATTAAATGGCACCTGGCTGGAATCTGTGTTTCTTTAATGGCTTTATCTAGCTCTATACTCAGAAAACAAAAGTCATACTAAAGCAGCAAGTTGGATGGACAATGTTACTGGGAGAGGGGTACAGGTGTCTTCTGTGTTCAACCTCCAAAATATCTTAGCTATTGCCACTACCCCAGTATCTGGCATGGGGAAGGGACACGGACCCTTCATCCAGAACCACAGGTCTGTATTCTCTGTTGGGGCTTCCTCTCTGTCTTTCACCTACAGGACCCCTGGTCCTGGGAAATTTTCAAGGTGCAATGGTGAGTGGGATCACTTTACTCTCCTTAAACTCCCGGATCACAAATACTTTGTTTAAGTGTCTGGAACCTCAGCTGTGACCTGGTGAGAATTGTCCCTAGATGCAGCAATGGGAGGTTGTATCAATTTGTGTTCAGGCTGCTATTCCTCAGGTGTGTGAGCATGGCTCAGCAAAGGTGGCCTGAGGACCTTGGAGTCCAGAGGTGTTCTGTTTTCTACCAGGTGTTAGCACTGGGGTCACGTGCAGGACTATTGGTAGCCTGCCCCTGCCCTGGAGTCTCCACTAGGCTTATTTCAGCCACAGCAGACACTGTGGGCTGCCTGCAAACTGCCAGTTCCCACCAGGGTGTCAGTGTCATGCCTCATTCATAGATGACCTTGGAAAAGTCATTACTTTCCTCCCCACGGCCAGTGAGAGAGCTGGTTGCCAAGTGTGGAAACTCCTTCCTTAGCTTTGGCAGGAAGAGAGCGTGCAATGCAATGGCTCTTGTGCCCTGAATGCCTACTGGGTGCTGGGCACTCCAGGGAGAGGGAGAAACCGAGATTCAACCCTCATTTAAGGAGAGCACCTGGCCTAGCCAGGCTCACACACGCTGTGAGGCGTAAACAGCAGCCATGTTCCCTGGGTTGCGCAGAGCCGAGTGCCCCTTAGTACCGATAGGTGTTCAGAGGGAACAGTTTCAGGCCATGGAGCTCTTTCTAGTAGCATCTCATGAGATCTGTTCCAAGCGGCACACCTGGGGAAACAATGCTGTATGTTTTTTTTTGTTTTTTTTGTTTTTTTTTTTTACGTAAGTGCTTGAAATCATGTATGGAGCACAGCTTGGGAACTAGAGAAGCCGTGGTACCCAGAGCAGGCTCTTCTGGCCACTCAGAGGGGTGAAGTGGCAACAGTCCTTGTAGTGTTTATAGAGAAATGGTTCAATCCAAACGTTTGACTTTTGGCCCCCCCGAGAACAGGATACGTGTCCTGGTTACCTTCATGTCCTCAGTCCAGCATGTGGCATCAGCTCAGAGTTTGTTTGTCCTGTGACTTCTTGCTGTCTTGTTACAGGCAAGGATGGCATTGGACAAAGAGATCATGTGCTTTCCCTACTTACACATGGAATACCACCTTCTCAGTGGTAGCCCCAAAGGCTCGGCCATTCTAGTGTTATTTTTTAAAGTTGTCGTAAAATACACACCACATAACATTTACCATCTTAAAAAATTTTACCATCGATCTTTTTCTTAAATTTTGAGATTAGGTTCATTAAAGCTGGGGACAGTGAAACAGGAAGGGCTTAGGATAGACGAAGTGACAGGAGAGAGCCCAGCCTGGGCTGCTCCGGCCCCCTAGGAGTGTTATGGGAAAGAAGTGAGCCACGCTGGGCTGCTGTCAGCTCAGTGAAGCGTCAGGGAAAAGGCGGGCTTAGAGACAGGGCCAGGGGTTTAGACCAGGATGAGCTGCCACTACCCATTGCTCCTCTCCCTGCAATCTCATGGAGACCCCCAGAGTTTAGGAGATGCAGGCCCGTGTGGGAAGAAGATGAGGCTTTTTAAGTGTACAGTTCAACAGTGTTAAGGACATTCACATTGTTGCGCAGCCAATCTCTAGAACTTCTTTGTCTCGCAAACCTGAAACTTTGTACCCACTAAACTCTAACTCTCTACTCTTCAATTCTACACCAGCCCCTGGCTACCACCATTCTACTTTCTGTCCCTATGAACTACTCTAGGTATCTCATATAATTGAAATCATGTAGTATTTGTCCTTTTAAAATATTTTATTTATTCATTTTTAGACAGAGGGGAAGGGATAGAGAAAGACAGGGAGAAAAACATCAATGTATGGTTGCCTCTCACTCACCCCTTGCTGAGACCTGGCCTGCAACCCAGGCATGTGCTCTGACCCAGAATCGAACCGGTGACTACCGGGTTCACAGATTCGTGCTCAATCCACTGAGCCACACCAGCCAGGGCAGTATTTGTTCTTTTGTGACTGGTTAATTTCACTTAGTGTAATGTCCTCAGGGTCCATCCATGTTGTGGAATATGACATGATTTCTTTCCTTTCCAAGGCTGAATAATATTCCACTGTATGTTTATACATATTACATTTTATTTATCCACTTATTTGTTAACAAACATTTGGGTCGCTTCCACCTTTTGACTATTGTGAAGAGTGCTGCTATGAACATGAGTGTGCAAGTAACTCAGGAACAGGAGATCCTGTTTTTAATTCTTTTGGATATATACTCAGAAGGAAAATTGCTGGGTCGTATGCTAGTTCCATTTTTATTTTTTAAATATATTTTATTGATTACGCTATTACAGTTGTCCCTTTCCCCCTGCTTTATTCCCCTCAGGCCGTACTTCCATTTTTTCCAGCATTTTTCCCTTTTAGTTCTGTCCATGGGTCATATATATAAGTTCTTCGACTTCTCCATTTCCTATAGTATTCTTAAACTCTCCCTGTCTATTTTGTACCTACCATTTATGCTTCTTATTCTTTGCATCTTTTTCGCATCTTAAACTCTCCCTGTCTATTTTGTACCTACCATTTATGCTTCTTATTCTTTGCATCTTTTTCCCCATTCTCCCTTTCCCTCTCCCCACTGAGAACCCTCCATGTGATCTCCATTTCTGTGATTCTGTTCCTGTTCCAGTTGTTTGCCTATTTTGCTTTTATTTCTTTTTTTTTTAGGTTTGGTTGTTGATAGTTGTGAGTTTGTTGTCATTTTACTATTCATAGTTTTTCTCTTCTTCTTTTTCTTAGGTAAGTCCCTTTAACATTTCATGTGATAAGGACTTGGTCATGATGAATTCCTTTAACTTGACCTTATCCTAGAAGCATCTTATCTGCCCTTCCATTCTAAATGAAAGCTTTGCTGGATAGAGCAATCTTAGATGTAGGTCCTTGCTTTTCATGACCGAGTACTTCGTTCCAGCCCCTTTTTGCCTGTAAGGTTTCTTTTGAGAAATCAGCTGATAGCCTGATGGGAACTCCTTTGTAGGTAACTATCTTCTTTTCTCTTGCTGCTTCCAGAATTCTCTCCTTATCTTTAATCTTGGATAATTTAATTATGTTGTGTCTTGAGTGTTCCTCTTTGGGTCCAACTTCTTTGGGACTCTAAGCTTCCTGGATCTAGAAATATGTCTATTTCCTTCACAAGATTGGGGAAGTTTTTCTTCATAATTTTTTCAAATAAATTTTAATTTCTTACTCTGCCTCTTCTTCTGGCACCCCCATGTTTTGGATGTTGGAACGTTCAAAATGGTCCCAGAGGTTTCTAAGCCCCTCCTCATTTTTAAAAAGATTTTTAAAAAGATTAAAAATATTTATTTATATTTAGAGAGAGGGGAAGGGAGGGAGAAAGAGAGGGAGAGAAACACCAATGTGTTGTTGCCTCTCATGTGGCAACCCAGGCATGTGCCTTGACTGGTCATTGAACCAGGGACCCTTTGGTTTGCAGCTTGCACTCAATCCACTGAGCTACACCAGCCATAGCCTCATTATTTTAAAATAATTATTTCTTCATTCTATTCCAGTTGAGTGTTTATTTCTTCCTTCTGCTCCAAATTGTTAATTTGAGTCCTGATTTTCTTCCTTTCACCATTGGTTCCCTGTATATTTTTCTTTCTTTCACTGCTGCCTTTCTTTTGCAGCTGTACTCAATTATTTCTTTGAACATCCTGATGACAAGTGTTTCCAACTTTGAATCTGATAGGTTGTCTATCTCATTGCTTAGTTCTTTTTCTGGAGTTTTGATCTATTCTTTCAT